CCATCTTCCCTTCCCGTCGTTGGTCCGTTCGGTTCGTACGGACGTGACGTTGTGTGTGTGTGTGTGTGTGTGTGTGTGTGTGTGTGGTATGTGCGTACGTGCATGATTTGTGAGTCCTGTGTAGCATGGAACCCCTCTTGCCCAGGCTTACGGGTGGTGCTGAGAGTGAGGGGCCATGTGGGGGGCTACCCTCACTTCAAGCTCTGTTGGGCATGGAGAAGTGGGAAGACGAGAATGAGATTTTGAGAGCTTCCCACAAACCCGGGAGGAAAACGGGATTTCTTAGGTTCTGAGCCCAGTGTCCCAAGATATGGCAGGACCTCAGAGGGAAAGATCTGCTTGAACACAGCTAGGGAGGCAGGGGCCCCAGCCTGGGGAGTAACCGCCATGTCCTGCTCAGCAGGTGAGAACAAGGAGCATGTCAGACCACGATGTGATGACAGGAAGACCTGGGACCTATATGACACTGGGAGGGCAGGTGAGAGCCTCGATCACTACCGAGACACAATTCCCTTTCAGCCTAATCAGATTAGTGCAGATAGGCCAGATTTAGATCAGGAAAAAAGGAAAGAAACGTGAGATTTCTTACACACCATAAAATCATAACCCACTTCATAAATACGTCTGGTGAATCTTGACACTCATCTCCTCCTCTTCTCTCCCCTACAGTCTTAAAGTTGAGGAAGCTCATGGCCTGGGGAAGGGTGGACTCTAGGGCCTTCCCTGCTGGGCAATCCTTGATGTTTCAGAACTTACTTTAGGGGAAAAACAGTCTGTGTTTCTGTATCTGGGTACTTAGCGGAACACTTGTGGAGAATTCCTGATCAGAGAATCAACCACAATCAACTATAGCTCATCCGCAACCCCTGCTCCCTAGTTCTTTCCAGAGTAGCTCCCGCTCCCAGGACCATTCAGGTGCTGGCGGAGGGAGGTTGTAAGTGGAAGTTTTGCTACTAGTTTGAGTAGAGGAAAATGAGGATTCTGGGCAGAAAACCATGTGGAACCACAACAGAAGTTCTCTTTCCTCTGAACGCCTTCCAGATTTAAGCAACATCTTTTTAAAAAATTGTTTTTAATTGAGGTATGGTTGATATCCAAAATTACATGTTTCATGTGTACGACATAGTGATACACAATTTTTAAACATTATACTCCATTTATAGTTATTATTAAAATATTGGCTATGTTCCCTGTGTTGTACAATACAACTTTGTAGCTTATTTTTTTTCACACAGTAGTTTATACCTCTTAATCCCCTGACCCTATCTTGCCCCTCCCCACTTCCTTCTTCCCACTGGTAACTGCTAGTTTGTTTTCAATATCTGTGAGTCTATTTCTTCTTTGTTATATTTGCTAGTTTATTTTTTAGATTCCACATGTAAGTGATATTGTACAGTATTTATCTTTCTCTGTCTGACTTATTTCACTGAGCATAATACCCTCCAGGTCCATCCATGTTGTTGCAACTGGCAACATTTCATTCTTCTTTATGGCTAAATAGTATTCCATGGTGTATATAGACCACTTTTTCTTTATCCAGTCATCTGTTGATGGACACTTTGGTTGCTTCCATTATCTTGGCTGATGTAAATAACCCTCCTATGAGCATTAGGGTGCATGTATTTTTTTTGAATTAGTTTTTTACTTTTTTCAGATATATACCCAGGAGTGGGATTGCTATTTCTAGTTTCAGTTTTCTGAGAAACCTCCATACTGTTTTCCATAGTGGCTGTACCAATTTACATTCCCATCAACAGTGTACAAGGATCCCCTTTTCTCCACATCCTTGCCAACGTTTGTTGCTTGTGCTTTTTTTTTTTTTGATGATAGCCATTCTGACAGGTTTGAAGTGATTTCTCATCATGGTTTGAATTTGCATTTCTCCTATAATTAATGATGTTGAGCATCTTTTCTTATGCCTGTTGACCATCTCTATGTCTTCTTTGGAAAAATGTCTATTCAGGTTGAAGCAGTGTCTTTATCATTTGCTCAGTGCTCTGAGGATCCCTTTGATTTCAGTGACTGACTGCCTCTTCACCACATCCGCAAATACCCAGAAAAGTCCTTGAAAGAAATTGTGCTTTGGGGGTCACCTGGTCAATAAGTGGGTCACTCCCAGCCCTGCCCATTAGCTCAGACACTGACAGGGTTGTGGGTCCTGCTCAAATCCAGAACAGGAGTTATCCCAGCCCTGGGAGAGCCCCAGGATCTAAGCCAAGCCTTCGTGCCTTCAGCTTTTCCCCTGACACAGCTCTCCTCCACTTGAAGCAAAACTCAGAAGCAGACAGCAGAGGGAGCCAGCAGCCTGCAGCTGGCGTTCAGGCCGGGCTTCTGAAGTGTAATCACTATTCCAGAGGCTTGTTGGCTCTTCCCCAGGAAACTGGAGTGCCCAGAAAATACACACAGACTTAAGTGAATGCTTCCCAAGGGCCCCCTGTGGTTTCCATCCAAATTCATTACCTATGTCACCCTCCCATGTCAACCCATCTTTCCACAGTTGCTGTGTAATTAAATTAATGGGTGGAAATACAGCTTCGGTCTATGAAGGCTCATTTTCCTCAGACTTACAGAGGGAATTTATCTTCATTTCTGATTCTTTTGCAGTAGACAACCCCTTCCCTCCTCTGGAACTTTCCCTCTGGCCCTCTTAAAATGGCTAACCTGTGGACACCTGGAAACGCGTTGGGGAAACTCTGTATCTCAGAGCCCTGAATTGCCTATAAGAAGCACCTGTTGATAATGAGGCTCATCAACTCCTTAGCCAACTAACTGATTTTAAAAAGTGAGCGAGCCCTCCCGCCCCTCTACGTGCGCTCAAGTGAGGCCCTCCCCCTGTGCATCGTGCTACAGGAACATCATTTCCAAAGAAGGGCTGAACCCAGTCAGAGCAAAGCCCAGGTGAAAAGCCTCTTACACAAAACGTAAAGAAGAAAAGAAGCAGAGGCAGCCTCCATCCACCCCCAACTCCACCCAAAGCCCGTGGGCTCGGCCAGGCCAGGACTTCTTCCCTCCCTCCCTCCCTCCTTCTGCTGAGGAGTCAGAATTCCTTGCATCTCTGCGCCGGTCTCCGCAGACCTTGCAAGGCAGGTGCTGTGAGTTTCTTAAGATCAGGGCTCACAGTTCGACTCTGGATTTCAGAAGTGCTTCCACTTTCAGCCTCTAGGACAGCTGCCTCCTCTTCCTCGTCCTCATCCACCACGGGGGCTGCCTGGTCAATTTTGAAGGTCTTGGTTGCCTGCACCCTGATCCTCTCCTGGGCATCACAGAGGTCTCAGCCCCACAACTTCATCTCCTGCCCGGAGACACCATGGAAATTTGACAGCTTCGTGTTGCGGGGCAGACACTGACGATGTTGAACAAAGAAACCAAAATCCGTCCTCATCTTGCTGGGACCAACAAGCAGCCTGGAGCCTGAAGGGCCCGGAGCCGGCAGTGGAGACCAGGAGGGAACTTGGAACAAGAAGGGTGAGTACAGCGGTGGGATTATGTGGTGGATTCATCTGGCTGAACGATGCTTCCCAAGGGGCCCTGTTTAAAGCAATGGATCCCACTCTGGATGTGGCGTGTGGTGGCCCCAGGCCCTGTCCTCCGCCGGTCAGCATGGTCATTCGTGTCCTCCATGAGGCCATGTTTATGCCTGACACACTTCATAGGATAGCTTTTATGCTAAATGACAGAATCGGCACAGTTGAAAGTATTCCACAGACTGAAACAGTCGAATCTCACAAGATGAAATTTGGTTGCGATAGGTGTAAACTCTTGAATGCAGAAGGAATACCCTAAAATATTGTGTGTGAACAAGTGTCGGGTGTTGGAGTTGCCTCTGTGCTCATATGGGATAGAGAAGCAAAAGGGGGGGCACTCTTAGGCTGCATCACAGGGGATGTGGCACCCAGAAGTGGAGCGGTGGTCCCAGTACTGGAATAGTGTCCATCTCTGCCTCTCGTCTTTCGAGGGAGCCCAGGCAAACAAGTGACCAGGACGGTGAGGGGACTGAGGCCAAGGCTTGTAAGTGGCAATGAGAAGCCCAAGGATGCTTGGTCCAGGGGAAAAGCCTGGGAGGTGGAGAGGCCTAGAGAAAGAGGGGTGATACTTTGGAGTTTCAGAGGCTAGAACCAGGCCCAACAGGCTGGGAGGGGCATCGGTCCAGGACATCTCACAAAGCTGTGTTCAAACCCAGCTGAAGTAACTTGGCGCTGTCCTTAGCCCTCTGAACCTCGGACGTCAGCCGTAAAGCAGGGATGCTGGTGCGTCCGAGCTCCTGAGCCGCCCCCAGGATCCAACACTAGCCGCAAAGTGCCTAGCAGAGTGCCAGAAACATGGTAAGGGCTTGCTAAAGTGTGCTTCTGGTTACTATCAGGTGGTAGTTAGAAGGGGGCAACTTGGGGTTTAGTGCAGAAGAATCTTCTAGCACTTGGAGCTTCCCCTCCACTGAGTACAATTCTGGCAGGTGTCAAACATTCGGGTGGTTATAACCCTGAGAATGGAATGCTTTTGTGTACTTTGCTGCCCCAGCTAGATTGATTACAAGTATTTCTCCCTGCCTCGAGGGAGAATTTAGCCCTGCCTCTGAGAAGAGAGCTGTGCTTGGCCCCTGCGGCCCCTATGCTGCAGAACAGCCAATCAAACGGACTTGGGGAAGCTGTCCCGAGCCTAGGGCCGTGGTTCACGGCACCCCCAGTGAGTGGGGCTTAGAAGCCATGAAGGTCTGAGAGACTGGCTGGATGTGCCGGAGAATTTAAAGGGCATTGAGGTAGCACGGGGAGGTGGATGTCGCTTCCTCCTCCAACAGCGTCTTTCATAAGGAGTCACAGTGATGCCAGGGGGAAGCTCACTGCCCCCCAGCTGAGGGCCCTCCTTGATTCCACTTCCTGCTCGTGCTTGTGGTCAGTTCTCTGGCAAATTAAGAATCTGGGTCCAGCTGGCAGGCCGTGTGACTGGCAGAGGGGAGCTGTTTAGGGGATTAAGCCGACGTTCCTACGCTGAGCTCACCCTGGCTTGAAGCACGGGAGACCCGGCAGCCAGGCGGCCTCTCATACCTCTAGACGGCAGGCAGGGGGTGTCGTGGCCCCGCAGACTGGAATTCTAGCGCCTGCATCGCTTTCCCGGCAACAGAAGGGAGGCTTGCTGATGCTGCAGGAGCAGCTAGGCGACTGTCCCTAGAGCTTTGGCCGCTGGCTCCCCACCTCAGAGCAGACAAGCTGCCTGCTGGCCGGGGCCTCCCGTACCACTTCCCGCCAGCTGCCTCCCAACTTCTCTGCTTACTCCCTCCTTCTGGAAGCATTTAGATGTCCTTCGGAGGTCATAAGGGATGCCCCCAATATATAGCAAATCCGGGGTTCTCAGGAGTGGGGTGATGGCCTAGGGAGCCAGTTCTTCCTCAGTTCTTCAGAGTTGGGGGTCTCTAAGGACCCACAGCAATTATCAACCTTTGCTGAGGTTTTTGGATGGAGATTCTTGGGCTTCGTGGGAAGGGGCCTGGGGTGAAGTTTGACATCCTCTTCTGCCATTCTCTTCTGATGGCACTCAGCCCAAGCTCGTGATTAAAAACTAAAAGGGAATATTCATCAGTTGGTGAAACTCTGACACGCGGCTGGGGGCGGTGGTGGGAAGAGTGAGTGGTGGGGCCTCTCTGTCCAATAAAGACGTTGAAAAGGGCCTCCCTTGCCCCCACGACCGCGTGAGGAATGAGGTAACTGACCACAGGTGAAGTCAGGATTCATGTTCTTACGGCTCCTGCTGAAAGTGCTGGGAGTCTAGTCCTTTAACTGTCACTGAGAAGTAATTGACCCTGTAACTCTATTAGTTTCAGGTGTGCAACATGAGGATTTGGTATTTGTACATTGCGGAGTGGTCGCAGTAAGTCTAGTCACATTCATCACCACATAGAGTTAACGATCCATTTTCTTGTGATGAGAACTTTTAAGAGCCACCCTTAGCAACTTTCAAATGTACAAGGCAGTATCATTAACTGTTGTCACCATGCTGGACGTTACGTCCCCAGTGCTTACTTATTTTATAACTGGAAGTATGTATCGTTTGACCCCTTTTACCCATTTCACCCCCCCACCCCCCACATTCTGGCAAGCACTAGTCTGTTCTCTGTATCAGCAAGTTCAGGTTTAGGGGAGAGGTGTCTTTGTTTTTTTAAGATTCTACATATCAGTGAGATCTTACAGTATTTGTCCCTCTCTTTCTGACTTATTTCACTCAGCATAATGCCTTCAGATTACACCCATGCTGTTGCAAGTGGCAAGATTTCTTTCCTTTTTACAGCTGAATAATATTCCTGTGTGTGTGTGTGTGTGTGTGTGTGTATACACGCATACCACTTTCTTTATCCGTTCATCCATCCATGGATGCTTGGGTTGTTTCTTCATCTTTGCTATTGTAAATAATGCTGCAGTGAACATGGGGGTACGTATAACTCTTCAAGTGAGTGTTTTCAATTCCTTTGAATAAATGCCAAGAAGTGAAATTGTTGGATCGTATATATAGTAGTTCTATTAATTTTTTTGAGGAACTTCCATACTGTTTTCCATAGTGACTATACCAATATACATTCCCACAAACAGTGCACATGGGTTCCCTTTTCTCCACATTCTGGCCAAAATGTGTTATTTGCTGTCTTTTTTGATAATAGCCATTGTAACAGTTGTGAAGTGATATCTCATTGTGGTTTTGATTTGCATTTCCCAATGCTTAGTGATGTTGAGCATCTTTTCATATACCTGTTGGCCATGTGTCTTTGAAACAATGTTTATTCAAATCTTCTACCCATTTTTTAATTTGGATTGTTTGCTTTGTTGCTTTTGAGTTATAATGAGTTCTTTCTATGTTTTGAATATTAACCCTAATCAGATATATAATTTGCAAATATTTTCTCCCTTTCAGTAGATGGCCTTTTCATTTTGTTGATGGTTTCCTTTGCTGTGCAGAAGCTTTTTAGTTGAAGTTCCATGTGTTTAGTTTTGCTTTTGTTGCTTTTGGTTTTAGATCCAAAAAATCATCACCAAGACCCAGGTCAAAGAGCTTACCACCTTGTTTTCTTCTAGGAGTTTTATGGTTTCAAGTCTTACATTCAAGTCTTTCATTTGTTATGAGTTAACTTTTGTGTGTGCTATAAAATAGTGGTCCAGATTCATTCTTCTGCATGTGGCTTTCCAGTTTTCCCAACACCATTTCTTGAAGAGACTGTCCTTAAACCTTCATTGTATGTACTGCCTCCTCTGTCATAAAGTTAATTGACCATATATGCGTGGATTTCTGGGCTCTCTGTTGCATTGATCTGTGTGTCTGTTTTGATGCCAATACCAAACTTACTGCAGCTCTGTAACAAAACTTGAAATCAAGAAGCACGATGCCTCCAGTTTTTAGGTTCTTTCTCAAGATTGGTTTGGCTATTAAGGGTCCCTTGTGGTTCCATATAAACTTGAGGATTGTTTGTTCTATTTCTAGGAAAAATGCCACTGGGATTTTGGCAGAGATTGATTTGAATCTGTAGATTGCTTTGGGTGGTATGGGCATTTTAACAATGTTCTCCTAATCTGTGAGCATTGGATATCTTTTCATTTTTGTGTGTTTTCATTAATTTTTGTTATCACTGTCTTATACTTTTCAGTGTACACGTCTTTTACCTCCTTGATTAAATTTATTCTTAGGTATTTTATTAATTTTGATGCAACTGTATTCGGCATTGCTTTCTTCATATCTCCTTTTGATAGTTATTGGTGTATAGAAACATAAGATATTTGTGTATTGATTTTGTGTCCTGCAACTTTATTGATTAGTTCTAATTGTTTTTTGGTGGAGTCTTTTGGGTTTTATATATATATAATACTATGCCATCTGCAAATGATAATGATAGTTCTACTCCTTCCTTTCCAACTTGGATGTCTTTTCTTTCTTTTTCTTGCCTAATTGTTTGGGGTAGAATTTCCAATACTATGTTAAATAAGAGTGGTGAGACTGGGCATCTTTCTTATTCCTGACCTTAGAGGAAAAGCTTTCAGCTTTTCAAAGTTAAGTCTGATGTATGTGGAATCTTAAAAAAAAAAAAGAGAGAGAGAAAGAAAAAAGAGGACAGTAATGAACTCATCCTCAAAACAGAAACAGACTCAAAGACATAGTAAACAATCTTATGGTTACTGGGAGAGAGTGGGTGGGAAGGGATAAATTTGAGAGTTTGAGATATGCAAATGTTAACCACTATATATAAAAATTAAAAATCAATTTTCTTATAGCACAAGGAACTATATTTGATATCTTGTAATAACATTTAATGAAAATGAATATATGTGTATATGTGCATGACTGGGACATTGGGCTGTACACCAGAAATGGACACATTGTAACTGACTAAACTTTGCTTTTTTTTTTAATTGAAGTAAAGTATGATTACTGTGGGCTTGTCATATATGGCCTTTATTATGTTGAGGTATGTTTCTTTCATATCCACATTGCTG